ATGGTAGCCTGGGTGACAGCAAGACCCTGTCTTAAAAAGAAAAAAAAAATTGGAGAAGAGAGCCCATCTAAAATGGCTTGACAAAAGTTTCAGATATTATCACAGCAACTTTAAACTTAGGTGAATCAGCAATACCGTCATTCATCACATAAGCGGATGAGATACCTCAACCCTGCTTCCCAGGTGAACTTTTGTGAGCTGCCTCACTGTGGTCCCCCTTGATTTTATTTTTGTTGAGACAGAGTTTCACTGTGTGTCCCTGGGTAGAGTGCAGTGTGTCTTTGTAGCTTATTGCAAGCTCCAGCTCCTGGGCTGTAAGTGATCCTTCTGTCTCAGCCTCCCAGGTATCTGGGACTACAGGTGCAAGCCACAATACCTGGCTGGATTTTGTTTTTCTCTTTTTTTCTCTCTCTTTTTCTTTTTGGTAGAGATGGGGGTCTCACTTGTGCCCAGGCTGGTGTTGAACTCCTGAGCTCAAGCAGTCCTCCTGCCTCGGCCTCCCACAGAGCTAGGATCCCGCTAAGACACTCTTCCCTTGATTGATTTCTTTTGACAAACATTTGCTGGGCGACCATGCACCAGGCACAGTGCTAGGTGCGGGAGATTCCAAGGTAATTATGACAAGGTCTAGGGTCAAGTAGCTCACAGTCTAGTGGGGAAAGTGGAGAAATGAATCAACAGTCACATATGCGAGGTTCGCCTCTCAACTCAGAACTGGACCAGCACATTTATTTCCATGAGAGGCAATTGCCACAAACTGTCTACTGACCAAGGATGCCTTTCGTTCTTTGCCTGGTTCCCTCCTTCACATCTCCCTCTTGTCTCTCTTCGTTCTTTGGACTTCTTGTCCTGCTTGCCTTCTTTACTTCTATCCTTCTGCTTTTCTCTTAGTCACCCCCAGACATTTCCAGGGCCCCTCCCAAGCACTTATTATCCGAGCATCTGTGTCTTCTGAAACAGACCTAGTCAAACTCACAGCAGGTTATTTTGCCTTGTGACACTGGCATGCCCTGTCTTTTTGTGACCTCAGCAGTGAACTGAACATCCCAAGGTGTTTCTCTTTCAAATGTGGCTTGGTTGGGGATGCTAAGATCAGGAATGTTTCAGGGAGGAAGGTATCAGAGTGGGTGCCAGGGGCAAGGGAGAGCAAAGTCTGAGGACAAAGCTGTAAGCTCCTTGGTGCTTTCAGCCTCCTAAACACCATCGTTGCATTAAATCTCCCCTTAACAGAGCCCAGACAGTGTTACTGGGGAAAGTGCCGCAGTCAGAGGGAATGGAGAAACTGCTTTTTTGGGGATTCTGAGAAAGGGGACTCGGGAAGGAGCTGGTGATGAAGATGAACAGAGTGCCCTCCTGCTAATTCTGCTTGTTACCCATTAACAAGCCTGTGACGAAAGCATCTTTAAGAGAAGACCCCTATCAAAAGAAGCTTCCCTTCTAATAACTCCATCACCCTCTCCCACCTCCCCCAAGAGACTTGAAGTACTGTCCTTTTCAGAATTCAGTTACGTCTGGGTCTGTTAGTGATGTTGTTTCATGCTTTAACTAGTTGGAAGGTGGTGGAACCAGATGGCTCTGTCTCCCTTTCTGCGGCTCTGCTATGGTCCCAGAACAGGGTCTTTGCCTTCCTCTGTTTCACCCATTTGTCTCCCAGAAATCCACCCATCAAGCAGTTGTTGGGCTTATAGTTTACGCAAAGCTCTCTACTGGCTACTTTAGAGGAGATACAAGATGAAGAAGACATGCTCAATGCTTTCAGGAACTTGCAATTTGTGGAGGAGACACATCCAAACATAACACAATAAATACAGACAGAAGAGATTTTATGGAACTTGGATCGACTTTTCTCTATTTCACTTTAAAGTGATATGGTTCTTTTTGTTTGTTTTTTATTTATTTGTTATTTTTTTCTCTAATCCCATGACACATTATCAAAGTAATGTGGTTCTTTAAATATAGGCCTCCTACAGCTAGGCACGGTGGCTCATGCCTGTTTTTCCAGCTACTTGGGAGGCTGGGTGGGAGGATTGCTTTAGCCTAGGAGTTTAAGGCCAGCCTTGGCAACATAACAAGAATTTGTCTCTAAAAAATTAAAGAACGAAAACCAAAACAGGCCTCCTATATCTGATGCTTTTTTCTCCTTTTTGAACTCCAGGAAGGCCAAGTTGATCCTTTAGGAAAAAGGGGTTGGGACAGGCCAGGAGACAGGAAAAGACTTTGGGATCAGGATGGGCACCTCCAACCCCAAGATTTTCAATCAGCAGAGAACACATACTGGGGTCAGAGTCAGGCCTGGCTCCATGCCACACTGTAGTACCAACAGAGACCTGTATAGCCCAGATGACAGCAGCAGGAGGAATGTTTACTTCTCTTGGATTCCTTTGCACAATTTACTGCCCTTTCCTCAAGAATATGACAACCAAGAGCATGCCGCAAGTCTTACACACTCAGTCCTTTAAGAATCTCATCACTGGATTAGCTGGTCTTAGGTAAAAGATTTAGGAAAGGAGCTGGAGAGGACTGGTCCACAGAATAAACATTAGAATTGGACACAATATTTTGGGGCAGGCAGTCGTGGTGTTTGGCATGTAGTTTTCAAACCAAATGATAAATAAGGAATATTCAGGGTAGATTCTCTATCTTTTCAACCAGGTCTGGCAAGGGATACAAAGTCATTCTAGGTCAAATGGATGATAGAAGTCTCCATATAGCCGAGCCCAAAACATGAACTTCAAAACATTCTTCCTTATTTAACTTGGGGATCTGTCAATTTTATCTGGAGATGTTCAGGAAAGGCTGAGGAGAAAATTTATGCTCCACCTGAGTCTTGAAGGATGACTAATTCACAAGGTGCACAAAGTGGGGAAAGAAATTCTAGTAAAAGGATGGAGGTAGTGGAAGGGCTGGATAGTGGGACCGAAGGTCTAGAAGCAGCGTGAGAAGCTGCTTCTAGGCAAGAAGGATTTCCAGGTTTAGAGCCTGCAGGGTCTGTATTAATGGACAGTAGGCTGCTAGTGGTGGCACACTGCGGGCGAGGGAGCTAAAGGAAGGGAAACCCAGACACAGGACTCCTGGGGGTGCAAAGAGTCCAGGGTCTCCAGTGTTTCCTCTGTCCAGTGGGGGGAGTGTTTCTGGGATAAGGTGCTGCACAGGGAGACCACAGAAGAATCTGGTACAAATGGAAGTTTGGTAGAAGATACACTTGGAACCCAGGGGAACCCAGCAGCAACTCTGTTGGCTTCTGTGCTTCCCGTCCTTTGGGTGGTTCAGTCTTCTCTGGGCCCTTCCTCCCCAGCTCAAGACTAAAAGTTCTGAAGAGATTTGCCTTGGGAGTCATTTCTCTTTTATTAAGGTACCACCTGGAAAGCAAACACAGGACAAACTACAAATCCACACATAGAATAAATTATGAAACTCATGTTTGAAAGTAGACTATAGAAGAAGCTGTGCTACCAGGAGGGCCTCCTGGTCCAGTGGCTGGAGAATCATGGGGTGTCAGCAGCCTCGAGAGTCCATGATGAATCTACAAGACATTTACAGCCAAATGCCCCCTCTGAGCATATCTAATGAGGCCCAAACTCCTTCACACAAACATGTGCACACCCACAGATGCACACACAGGATTGGGGGCAGGGGGACGGCCTGTTTATGACAACCAGCTTGGCGACAAGCAAAGCGGACCCTGCTGTGCTCTCCCTGTGGCTTTGGCGGCAGCGGAGTTCCCGGCGCTCATCCTTCACCAGCTGCCTGGCTCCTGCGGGAGGTGCGGTCGTGCCCCGTGCCCGTGGCAGTGGGAAAGCGGAGGCCTGCTTCCCAAGGGAAGAACCGGTTTTGTCAGCCTGGACTGCAGTTCTCATCCCGCCTTGCTTTATTGTCTGGCCTACCAACCCTGCCCGCCACTCCCAGAAGGAGTGAGGAGTTGAGTCCCCAGGGAAATCCACCTTGGAGTCCCAGGAGCTGTGTGTAAGTCCTCCATCGGCTACTCTCCAGCAGTGTGACACTGAGGGAAATTATGTCCTTCCTCTAAGCCTCAAGTTCCCCATCTGTGAAAATGAGAGCGTCTACTTCACAGAGTTATCGTAAGGAATCACTGAAATTTGATATTGCCAAGTACTGTGGCAGACTCAAGTTAAACATTCAAACCCTCTTTTCTGTCCTGACTTCTTGCCCCCATTTCTTCCTTCCAGTTTCCCCATCTGGCTTCCGGGTTTATGTGTCTGTTGGTAGTCATGCAATCCCAGCGGCACCCAAAGCACCTCTTGAACGATAGGGCCTCCCATGCTCCACCGGAGACTGCTGGGATGCCCTTCCCCCGGTACAAAACTGCGCCTCTGGGAGAGTCAAAGGGATGGGCCATAGGACCAGGGCACAGTCTGGGTCTCAGGCACATCTGAGCCCAGCAGAGAGATCTGCGTAGCCTGTGGGTGCCTGGAAATCTGGCTGTCTCAGGGATAACGGTGAGGTGACGGAACAGTGGAAAGACGTGAATGAGAAATAGCAGTGCAGCGGTGGCTCTGAGCTGAGTCTGGCCAGAAGCTGGAATCTAGGGGTGGTGCTGTTCACAACCTTCAGCAGAAACAAAACCACCACCTTCCAGGATGCAGGAGACTTATCTTCTTGGCAGGTCTGTCGACCAAAAGGCCAGTTGGACGCCACCCCTCAGGATTTGCAGAAATTTCCCATTCATCTCTCCATCTGTCTGTCCTTCCAGCCACCCACCTGGTATATATTAATAGTTTTGTAGAATGCAGGCTGACCCGGATGGAAAACCCTATGTGTTCATTTAGCACCTTTCATCTAAGGAGTCAGTATCTTTTATAGTCACTCAACTGGAGTCTTTTACAGTAATGCTGTGAGGTAGTAACGAGACAGGCAATACCCTTCTTTTTATAGATTAAGAAGCGCTCACAGTAACACAGTGAGCATAGCCGGAGCACAGCTGAACACGTTAAGGGCTGGCTGAATGCAGGACACTGGTCTGTTCCCTGAAGACCAGAAACTGGCTGTCCGCCTGCAGGCCTGGTTACGGCTTCTGCTGCACTAACCTCTGTCTCCAGACTAGCTCCGCTGCTTTTCATACCAGTGTGGGTTTCAAGTCATCTTTGAAGTTCACGATGGGCTTGGAGCGGGCCCATAGCTTTTCCCAGGAAGCCAGCCCCCTGGCAGGCTCGGGGTCAGTGTCTGATGTGTCACTAGAGTCAGAGGAGCTCTGGAAGCAGATTTCACAGTAGGGCCGGTGGCATCGGCAGAAGAACTCATCTGAGCTGCTGGACTCAGTGTCAAAGGAATCGTACTGAGAAGACAGGGAGGGACAGCCTGGGGATGCTGGGGGCCGCAGCTGCCACTGCTCAGGCAAGTGTGTTGAGGCTCTGGATAGGCGTGGGGCAGCAGGACTTTGTGCCCGGCCAGAACCAGAAGGCTGGTAAGGAAAGGCTGCCTTGCTCCCTCCAGCCCCCTGGGGATCTGTCTGGCTTTGTTTGTTGCCCTCCAGGGTGCTCGGCCTGCTTTGAGGATCTGGAAGTAGAGACGGCTTCCTGGAAGAGGGTCTTGGAACCCTGGAATCAGCAGTTTGGGGGGCCGGGCTGGGGCTGTCTCCATTCTGCATATTCAGCCCACTGTGCGCCCCAGAAACAGTTCTGTTTGCCTGACGCCCCACACAGGAGGGTACAGAGCCAGGAAGGCGTGAGCAGGCCTGCCGAGCTGCCCGTCTTCTCCTCCTAACCATGTACGGGCTGAAGCCCAGCTCCTTGCAGAGGGGCATCTTCTGGGGGCTGAAGGCAGCACTGCTCCTCCAGGGCTGCTGGGGATGAGATGGGGAGGAGGGGAGCGGAGCCTCAGGACCCAGGCCCAGATCTTGTAAGACTTCCTGAAGTTTCTCCCTGATCACTGAATTGACCCTTGACAGCCGCTGTGGAGGTTCTTCTGAGTTCTCCAGCTGCCTCTGTCTCTGGGTATCAGAGCCCCCTCTACCTTGTAAGGGACTACGGCTGGGGGCCATGGGTACCTGCTCCCCTTTTTCCGTATTCCGGCTTTGCTCAGTCTGTGGCTTCTGGCTATAACCCGAGTCTAAATGATCAGAAAAGTCTTTCAAGTCAGACATCTTCTCCCGCTGCCCTGGGGAGGCGCTGGTGTCCTTTTCAGGCCCCTCAAGGCTTTGCGCACCTAAGGAGGGCACTGAGCCATGCTGGGAGTCCTGGGCAGCCGCGCCGGTATCATTCTGCAAGCCAGAGGGGCATTCCAAAGGCCGCTGTGCGGAGGATGCCGTCTGGGCATCCTTGTTCTGGGAGGAGGCAGGTGGGGCAGCCCATGTTGGGAGGTCATAGGTGCACTCAGCAGACATCAGCTTCACTAGCTTCTCTTTGGCATTTTTTACTTGTTCCTGCAGGCTTTCAATCACAGCATTTTTCTGTAAAATAAAATTAAAAATATCAACAAAAGGTGCTGCTGAGGGTTCCATACTGCCTGCCGGGGTGGGGAAAGTGTGGCTACAGAAGACCTTGGTTTAAATTCCAGTTCTTCCAATGTATTGGCTGGTGGCCTCAGGCTCTGAGGAGGTGAAATGAGTTGATATGCACAATAACTGGCATGGATGAGGCTCAATAAATAGCCACAAGTTATCGTTGTTGTCTTCATCTCCCCTTGTATCCCAGGCAGTGTAGCATTGCTTGAGGAGGGAGGAGTCACAGCCTAGCTGCTTGGGTGTACCCCCACACCCTTCCCCAGAACTCAGAGGGTCAGGTCATTCTGCAGGACACCAGCCTCAATAATGTTTGTGATGGTCCAACTCCGGGTTTATCGCACTTTTGAAAATTACAGACGAATTTGAAGCACATCCCAGGGGATGAACAAATGGGGAAACAAATATTTTGGCTCTTGCTAAACAGCCTAGAAAATGGAAAGAACAGGGAGAAGGGTGGAGGTTCCTGGGCCAAACACATGAGACTGGAGCCAGGAGGGGCCAAAGAGAATCTCAGTCAGTGTCATCACCTCCCTAGGCTGGACCTCTGCGGGTGAGAGGCCAAAGCTACCATGTGGCAATGTCGGCTGTCAGTATCTCCTAAAGAAGTGCATGCATCAGAACTGTTGGAGAAACTTTAAAAAAATATATACTGTTGGGCCTAAGTCCCTGATAGCTTGATTCGACAGACCTAGAATGGAGTCCAGGAGATGAATGAGGCCGCGGCGGTTCTGCTACTGAACCACTTACCTGCTGCACAGGTGTTACCTGACCAACAAGCCGTGCCCAGGAGGGCTGGCAGATGACAGCTGCAGAGACACCTCTGTTCTGACTGCAAGATTCTGGGGCACAAAGTAGGAGGAGGAGCGCTGGCCACGGGTGCACAGGGAATGACTGAAGCCTGGACACCTGTCCTCCGTGCAGCAGCTGATTCTCCAGCTCGGACTGCGAGTCCACCTTTGGAAATTTCTTATGCCCAAAAGCAGAGCAGCAGGGAGGAGATCTTCATGGGGAACAGCTGGTTTTGGGGCAGGTGACATGGCGCTAAGGGTCTTGGGAAGGCAAAAACATAAGCATATGTTCTAGGAAGTCTTGTCCGAACACCAAAATGCCGCCTCTTAGCTGCCATGCCCTTTAGAAGCTGAGGATGAGCATTTGGACATATTAATATATTAATTATGCCCTAGAAACAAAAGGATGTTCCCTTTTTAGGATAACTAATACAAGCTGCCTATGGATTGAACCTGTGGTTTCTTCTCAAGTTTTTTACATGGGAGAGTTGCCCAGAAATGATCCTTTAAGGGAGCAGTAACTTCAGTAAAATAGTCCAGTATTCTGACTAGCGACTCCCCAGGCAGACCCACTGCTCCCCACGTACGAGCAGGGAGGGGATTTTCTGATCGTCAGTACTCCCAGTTTCACCCTGGTTTAAGTCTACTTCTTTTACCATCAGGAGAGCGGCCAGGACCAGTGAGCGATGGATGAATAAGGCGGAAGGGACTTTCAGCTGAGCACCCGCATGCCCGTTCTCCCCAGCTGCAGAGTGGCAAGGTCTGGGCGTTGCTGGGTGAGTGCAGATGACTCAAGGACTTGCTAGGAGCGGTGCGATGAGTAACAGGAGACACTCGGCCTCTTCAGGATGCCTGGCCGTGCCTTTGCTCTCTCTCTCTGAGCATTGCATAGGGGTCACGGTGATGGCTGCACAGGAAGGACCCCGAGTCCCTCCTCCTCCCCTAGTCCCTCCTCCTGAAGCCCACCCTGCACAGTCTCCTGCTGGCTTCCGCAGGCCTCTATTGCCTCACAGAGTTAGGAAGAAGCCGTCAGCTGATGACAAACACTCCAGCGGGCAAAATCGGAGTACTGCGTTTTTGTGCTTCATCCACAAACTCCTTTGAGTGTAGAAAAACAGCATAAACACTGAGCTGGGAAGAATATTATTCTTCCAGTAAACCAAACATCTGAAGCTGGCTGCTGACAGACTTAGAAATGTCAACCTAAACAGTCAATTTCCCTTCTTCCAGAAAAGGAAGTGGAACTGTCTTCTCCACGGCTGCATACTAGTTAGAGGCGTGGGTGAGGCACTGCCATTGTGAGACCAAAATCCGACCATGGCAGCTGCACTGCAATGAGCTTATTAATGATTACTGTTGGCACAATGCGGGAAGCAAAATGACCACTGGCGTGGTTCATAGGGTGCAGGCCGTAAGCAAAAATGGAATCAACCTCTTGTTTCTACGGTTCAAGGAAGAAAAGTAATGGGTGGGTTTCACTGGCTGCAGAGTGTAGAAGGTTCTGTCTGCTGGCCTTCACTCTTGACAGGGAAGTCAGTGACAGATGCCACCCCAAACAGCTTTTAGGGGACCCTTGGCCATACGGACAAGAGAGGCAAGGATGAGAAGATGGACAGCCCAGACCGTGGGAAGTAAGAGGAAGGGCACGGGGGTGGCAGAGGGGCTGCTCAGGAGGGAAGTGCACACCGTGAGCTGGTGTCAGGGTGTGTGCACATGCTGAGGCTGGAGAGAGATTTGTGTTTATCTAACGGGCAGCACTGGAGCTGGGGATGCAGCTACTGGATCTGCTCTAGGCCTGCCACGGGGTGCTAGGACTGGCTGCTGGTTCTCAGGCCGGTTCTGCGGAAGGTGTTCCAGGTGTAGCATGTGCTGGGAAGGCCAGCTTCTTACTGCCTGTGCGTCTGTATCCATTGAGGGCCCTTGCTCTGGAGACTCAAAGCATCGTTTTGAATAGAGCAGACTGAGTCCCTGCGTGGGAAGCAGGGCAGCATGGCAGAAGTACAAAAAGCACGTTGCACAGTACCATAAGGCTAAAGAGTCAGTACACTTGGCTGTTCCAACATTAACTGATCGTGAATGAAAACCATCCTGGCTGTTCTAGCCAAGTTTCTGGCCTCCTGTTTAGCTAGAAAAAAAAAAATGCTTCTTTGATACTTCACAGAATATCAAAGGCAATGCTACTCCCTTGCCAGGTGGGAAGAAATCTGGCTTTGAAATAATGTCCTGAATACTTCATACATAGTGAAGAGATGGAGGGGTATTGCTCTGACGGACGAAACAGGTCCAGAACCGAGGGGACGCTGTGAGAGACTGGAGGGCAGGGACGGTGGGTGCCTAAGCAGACTGGGCCCCTGCATCTGTTGTGTTTCGTAAGTCCCCATCACACCGTCCTCTCACCAGGGACTATTAACACCCAGGTGGCAGTCCCATTACAAAAAAGCAGTTTCCCAAATAGCACCTACTTAGCTATGTTCTCAACTGAAGAAAATATGGAATGTAATTCAATTAGTGTCAAAATACTGACTAATTCCCCTGGGCCCTGTGCCTTCCTTCTGAGTCAATGCAGCCCTCAAGCTTTTCCACGTGCTTCTTCAAGCCTGCACAATGCTGCCCAAGTCTGGGAGAGGGGCCAGCTCTGCTCCAGTACAGAAGAAATAATGACTGGGGGCTGCCTGATTCCCCTTGGTGCTACAAGAACATGCAGAAGCCCTTGGTTAGTCCCCTTCCCCATCTGTAGGTATGTCTGGACTTAGTGGGCTGATGGGATGATTGAAATCTCTATTTAGCACCTGAAAAAGAGAGTCAGGGTCCCATAAGATCTTGGACATGAAGGCACTACTCTATGTAAAGAGAGTGTCACCCAGAAGCCAGTGTCCACTACAGCTCAGGGCCTTTACAGTGCTGTTCCCTCTTCTTGGGTCTTGGAATGCTTTTCCCCGTACTCCTTGCCTGACCACTTTGTACTTAACCTACAGCCATCAGCTCAGAGAATCTTTTTTGAATGCTCTATATTAGGTTCCCTTTCCTTACCACCCTGATGTTTTCCTTCATAATTCTTATCGCAATTTATATGTTTATGTTTCCTCCACTCAACAGTGAGCTTCATGTGGGAAGGAACTAAATTTTCGTTCATCAGCACTTAGCACCATGCCTGGCACACAGGAGTGACTCAATATATCTCCGTTCACTGAATGAATGAAGTGGATGCGGGCCACTGGGGAAATGTTGAGGCTTTGTTTGCGGTTCAGGGAAGCGGAAGGATGGGAGGAAAAGAGAATGAGAGCAATGAGAGCATCTGGGGGCCACAAATACATGACTGAAGTTCTTTGCAGGGAATCCTCCAGGCAGGGGTGCAGCTTACTTCTGTGAGGAGCCTCTCCATGGAACTCTTCTCTCCGCTCGGGTGGCAGTTCTGTTCCTCACCGTACTGGGTATGGAAGCTTTTGCTGGGAGTGCTGAAATATTTGGCCATGCGTCTGATTGTTTGGTTTTCCTCTTCAAATGCCTTCCATTGCTTCAGCTGTTAGATAAAAGAACACATGTTACTTATTTAATTACACACCAAGAAGCACATTCTCTCTCTCTTTCTCATAAACACCAGGGAATGACACTGTCACAGATACATATGTGCACAAGCTCTTCTCTCCTCAAAACGTACTTTACTCTGGAGAGCACACAGACAGTAATGACAGAAGGTATAGAGAATGTTAAGGTTGGATAGTTTTAGAAAACACCAAAGGAAGATGACAGGTAGATGAAATAGAACAATCTTAGCCCATCTACCTACCCACTGCCAAACTGATCAAATAAAGCCAGAGTGGAACTATCCTTCCAGAGCCATATTCTAAAGCCAGTGTTTGGGAGCTATCACAGGGTTAAGCAACCTAAACACCGTATGTTTCCAATGAAACCATTTCTAGTGGTGTGCAGCTGTGCTTAATTATTTTTCATTTGTTCACTAATGGTGTGCTAACTTCTATTGAAAACCCGGTTCCTTGCTGGTGGACTTCTAACATGAGTCAGTTATTAAGGCTCAAGCAGAGAAGCACAAATGTCAATACATATGATAGAATATTAAGTCTGAGATCTGATCCTCTTTTTTCCTTGACAAACGAAGGATTCAAAAGGAGCGTGCCTGTCTAAGCTCACACAATGCGCTAGCAGCAGAACCCCAGCTGCAACCAGGGCACGGTGCCCCACACAAGTCCTCACACAGTTGACGAAGAAAGAGACTCTTCACTGCGGGGGTCCTCCAGAAGGTTCTTCAGGAGAAACTGGTCTTGAGAAACAATCTGTGGAAGCATGGGCTGATTTAGTTTAGCAGGGATGGAGCTGAACACAGAACACTCACACACAGGCATCCTCCTGAGGCTTTGGGACGCTGTCTCTACCTGGGGAATGCCAGATGTGAATGACAGAGGAGGCCACAGTGGTGGAGACTTCTCTTTTTCCCTTAAAAACCCCCATAACTAAACGTCCTAGTGGCAGATGCTGGGGACTCTGGCACCTTAGTTCTACAAATGATGCTGAGGTGTCTATGGGTAGCCTCGAAAGGAACCTGGAATTTCCTTGCTCACTCATCAAACATTTATTAGGCTCTGACTATGGGGGTGTAACCCAAATTCCACAAATCTCAGATAGAAATCTAAGTCCTGCCATCAATTTCAATACCACATTCTCACCCAAGTCCTCTTGGGTCCTCTGTTGACTCAGCACGAGTCCTTCATGGTGTCAGGAGTCTGTGTGACCTGTGCTGGGTCAGGCCAGGAATGTCGCCTCTCAGATGCCCTTCTGGAAGGTGCCCTCCCTTCTGAAGGATGCTGTCAGCTCACCACCCCACTCAGGAACCAGTGGAGCCAACACCACACGGTCATTCTCTGGTCTTGGTGGATGGAGCGGACCAGGGTTACTCTCCTAGCACTGACCCTGGCAGTGTTGCAGTGTTTCTGCTGTTGCTCAGCAACCCCCCTTCCTTAGCAGTACAGCTTTTCCTTTCTTTCCCCCAGCACACCCGGTCTGAGGCCTCTCTGCAGGGCAGCTGGAGGAACAGCTCAACATTGGCATAAGGGCACTTCCAGGGCCTTTGGGCCTAAACTGGCCAGGTGGAGTCAGGTCAGGTACTCTGTGACTAAAGCTGCCCCACCTCCCTTAATTCCTTCTTTGTGAAGATGCTGGTCCTCAAGACTTGAGCCTTCAGAAGGACAGACACATTCTAGCTTTCTCGGCCTCGGGGCTATGTGGATATGGTAGGCTGAATAATGGCCTCTTGAAGATGTCCGTTGGCCTCCTAATCCCTGGAACCTGTGAATGTGCTACCTTACATGGCAAAAGGAACTTCGCAAATGGGAACAAGGTAAGGATTTTGAGATGGGGAGATGAGTCTGGATTATATAGGTGGGCCCAGTGTATCACAAGAGGGAGGCAGGAGGGTCAGAGTCAGAGAAGGAGATGTGACAACAAAAACAGAGGTTAGAGTGTGAGATTTGAATATGCCACACTGCTGGCTCAGAAGCTGGAGGAAGGGACAATGAGCCAAAGAATGCAGGTGGCCTCTAGAAGCTGGAAAAAACAAGGAAACAGATTCTGCTCTGGAGTCTCCGGAAGGAACACCGATCTGCTGACATCTTGATTTTAGCCAAATGAGACCCATTTCAGATTTTTGTCCTCCAGAACTGTAAGTTAACAAATTTCGGTTATTTTAAGCCACTAAATTTGTGGTAATTTATTACAGCAGCAATAGGAAACTAATACAGTGGGATAAAATGCGGAGTCTTTAACAGGGCACTCCAGGGCCCTCAGAGGCTCCCCGTCTGTGCCCTCTCACCTCTTGTCATTCTCCTTATTTCCGTTTGTGCTCCAAACACACCCTATTCTCTCATGCGCACCTGTCTGCCTCTGGTCATGGTGTTATCCCATCTGAAATGCCACCCCCTGTGCTTCCCCCATCTGCTCAATGAACTCTTACTATTCCTTCAGGACTGAGCTCAAACACCCCATTTTCTGAGAAGGTGTCACCGAGTTCTCAGGCAGGCTGGGGAGGGTCTTCCTCAGCCCTGTGTAACATGCCTTCCCCAAAGCACTTAACACGCATTATAATTCGTTTCATGTCTGCTCCCCACTAGACCTAGAGGCGGGGCCATGTCTTTAACTGTGCGTTCCCAGCAGTTAATAAATGGATGGATGGATACCTGAGCAAATGAAGGAAGCTTTCCTTTAAAAGCTCACCGGTCTAGCAGGGGTGCTGGGACACAGAGAGATAACTGCGAGGCAGACTAGAAAGTCCCAAGTGCCTCCAGGGAGAAGTAGATGAAACACGGCTGGGTTTAGAGAAAACAATGTCCTACCTCAGGACCTGCCTGCCTCTCAGAGGAAGTGGAGGGGTGGAGGATGGGTCATGTTCAGGTCACAAAAGCAGAGGCTGGCCGATTACTGCCAGTGCTTGGCATAAATACTCCGGCATTTCCTGAGGGTCTGTGTAGAACGCTTCTTGGTGCACCTGCCTCTTTACTAACGTCATCCATGTCACCCAGCTCTCTGGCGCCGCCTGGCTGCCCCTGGGGGCACCTGTGCCTTTGCTTTCACTAACCCCTCCCATCGCATCCAGTGTGAAAGCTCGGCGGGAAGAGGGAAGCCCACCTCGCCGCAGACCTCGCTTCCCCCGACCTCGCGCCACGCAGCTCCCCTCACGCGCTTTTCCAGATTTACTCAGCTGTCTAACTCTCCAGGGAACACACTGCAAGTCTCACAGGGAGATTCGTTCTCACCTCTGAGCCTGAGAGGAACACACAAGAAACTGACAAACCTCGGTTACTTTTATATTTTGAAAAAGGATTAACCTCCTAAGCATCAAATACAGTAGACTATAAGATATATTTTTTAGTTTCACATTATGGCCAGTTCATTCAAGAGGAGGGGGAAAAAAGCATGAGAGAGAAAATAGAAGAGGAAAGACAGTAAGAGAAAGGAAGCTCAAGAAAGCTAGGAGGAAAAGGGGATGGAGAGCCAGACAGAAGGAAAGAGATGGCCAATGCTGTCCGTCCCCCTGCTGCTGTCCCCCACAGCCACTCCATGTCCACTCCATTCCAACAGATCAAGTGCTTGTGGCTTAGCGCAAACCTGGAAGTCAGATTGCAAGCTCTGCTTCATCCTGCACTTTCGTGTGTACATGAGAGTACCCAGATGTCGCTCCTGTCCTTGGTGCTGAGGATTCACACACCAGAGGAAGCAGAAGTCGTGTGGCGGAGGCTTGGGATGCAAGGAGGCAGTGGTGACAGGCAACGGTGGACAGAGGAGAGGTAAGCAGGGCACCACCGTGGAGGTCACTCATTCACTTAATTTTCAGACGTTGGTCTCATTTGAGATCAGGAAGGCGTTCCTCTAATAGGTCCTTGATGATCACTTCTGGCCCAAATTATTCTGTTCTTTTTCAGAGACTCCTACTAGCTTTCAATTGTATCCCTAGATGTTTTCCATATTTTCTTATCTAGTCTCTCATTTCTATCTGTTTTCTTGCTTTCTGTTTCCTTAAATGAATTCAGTAATTCAATATTTTGCAGGATCTAATTGCCTATTCAGTGCTTCTCTGGGGGTTTTAAATTTAATACAATATTTTTCATCCTTATTCAATATTTCATTATCTAAGATTATGTTCATGATGGTTTGCTCTAGTTGAACAGAGGCAATATCTTCTGAATCCCACTGCCAAGACAAATCAGATGTCTTCTAAAAACTTCTACTTCAGAGGAAGGCAGCTTCTCTGAATAATGAGAAATTTGTGGTCCTTTTCTTGTGAACTGCAGATTCCCTTCATATGTCCTTTCCCTCTGAATTTATAGTCCTACATGGGAAGAGCTGTATTCTCCTGGCATAGTAACTATATTCTCTTGGTCTTTCCCTCATGAGCACAAGATGGCTGCTATATCTCCAGGTATCACATACATTCCAGACAGGAAGAAGATAAAGGGGCAATGTCAGCCACACTAATCACTTTATTTAGGAAAGCAAAAGCTTTCTCACAAGCCTCTCAGAAAACCTCTAGTGTTCAAAATAGTGTCATATGGGCACTGCTAGCTATCAGAGAGTCTGGCAAAGCAAGAGTTTAGTTTTTCTGTCTATCTAGTAGAGGTAAGCACAGAAGAAAGGCATTGGCAAAGAGGTTAACAATCAACAATGTTGACCACAGGGCCTTCCCCAAAGGCCCCTGCCCACTTGTCCCCATCATCCCCATCTCCTAGGAAGGAACAGTACTTGCTTTTCAGAGCCCATTTCTGCTATATCCCAGACAAATAAGCCTCCGCTCTCAGTGGCTTCCTTCATTCCAGTTCTTACAACATTAAGATTCGGCAAAAATTCCTCCAGTGTCTGGCACAGAGGCAATATCCATCCTTGGTTTCTAGTGCTGCTGCTGCAGACTTTTCCATTGTTACTTATTCTGTTGAGTATTTTAATGAGAATTTATGAGCAGGAAGAAGAGTGAAGGGCCCATGCTTGTGTTACACCATCACATCCCAAAGTACAGTCTCTCTTTGAAAAATACACCATCACCCTCCCCCCGCCAACACTTAAATTATCAGTTAGCTCCCTCATGAGGACGTGAGGACGTAGTTCATAGTGAACTGGAAGCTGCTGTGGGAATCAGGATCGGGTCTTGAGGGAGGAGTGGGGTGAAGGAGGCCTCAAGGGGAAGAAAAGGAGAACTAGGAGAAATACGAAAGTGCCTAATGCCAAATTCATTAACTTTGATGTCTGTGGCTCAGTGGTCCCTAGGGCGCGGCATGAACATTACAGCTCACTTGCCCTTTTGAGCCTATGGATCCATCTTCTTTCCCTCTGAATCTTCCTTCTTTTTTGCTGTCTGGATATATTCCTGTTTCTAGCTTCTCCCCTCATTTGATTTTTTTTCTTAATCCCCATAATATGAAATATATTTTTATTTGGTTTTTATTTCTCCTTGTTGTAAAAAGAAGAGGAATGTTCTATAAACATTCTTCCAGTAAGAAAAAAGGAAAAGCATTTTAAATCATAAAGTTCCAAATGGATTTTTCCCTGTGAATCTGCAACCCCCAATTGGAAAGACATAAAGGTTCCTCACTCCCACACTAGTGAAAGAAACAACATTGAAATGAAGGGGCCTTGGGAAGGAGTGCAGCAGACTGGAGGGTGGGCGGAGAAGCAGGTCTGCGAGGCAGCCCCCCAAGGAACAGGCGCGGCAGGTGTGAAGGGTGGAAATGGAGGTTGCCACCACTACTTGGCCCACTCTGGCCTGACCTCCTTGTGACAGGGAGCAGAGCTGTGCTCCTCCAGGACAGCAAGGAAGGACAGAGGTGGCCAGCTCACTAGGATAATCTGTCTTCCTTCTGACTCTCCAACAAATGGCATGGAGGGGTTATTAGTAAAAAACAAAATGAGCAATTTTTTGTGCCCCGTGAAAACTCTAGAGTGACTAAGAGGACCAGCCCTGCAAGAGTTTTCCTAGAGCATACCTGGGGAATGAAGATGAAGCAGTTGATTGTGGTTGTGCAAACAAAGATGCCTCCAGACGTGAGTCCAAAGACCAGGTTGGGCCAGGAGTGCAAGTATCTGGTGACCACAAAAAGCAGCCCAGCAGCCAGTACCAGGAGGTTGACCCCAACCATGATGGTTAAAGACTGGTTCACAGGAGGAGAGCTGACATGGTCAGTCAGGCCAGCCAGGTAGGCACCATACAGCAGGAGCAGACCCTGGGCAGGGAGGAGAACCAGAGGCTCAAGGGAGTGGAACAACAGGTTAAAGAGCAGTAGGGTTGGAATCCATTTCCTTCTCTGTAAAATTGGGATAATAATACCTACTTTTAAGATTGCTATGAGGATTTACTAAGGTAACACATAGGAGAACGCTTAGGGCAACCCCTCATACCTAGTAGGTACTTCATAAATGTTATCTTCCTCTCCTTCACTGAGGATAAGTTTATCAGAAATTGGCAAGTCAGCCATCATACAGGACTCTTCTGGGACAAGGCACAGGATCATACAAGTGGGCAGGAGCCCTACAGAAAGGGCCGTCGGGCACTAGGAGGGCAGTGGGCACAGGGTGCTGCTGGTGGTGGGAGCTCCCACATCCACCGGGCAGTTTTGCACCCTGCACAGAGCTGAGAAGGCACGTGGAAGCGGAAATTGACCTGTGGTCTCCTTGTCAAGTCACGTGCCACGGCAGGGGCAGTGCCCAAAGGAAGGGGCTCTTTTTTCTAATTTACCCAAAGGCACCATCTGCTTGCCAAGCCCTGCACCTGCAAGGCTGCATCTGCCTAGAAGGAATGCCTTTTTCTAATTGACACAAAGCCTGTCTATAGCAGCGGCTCTGTGCCAGGGAGTGTTTACGGGAGATGAAGGGTGAAAAAAGAGGAGAACAAAGACGAGCTGGGACCTAGGCAAGACTGTGGGGCAGGCACAGGCAGCAAAAGCCCCATCTATACTTTTCACCCTCTGTGTGACATTCCCTGCCCCCAGCACAAGGAACCCAGGGCCCTATTCTTTCCTCTCTCCCATGAATATAAACCTGCTCTCAGCGTTCTCGTTCTCGTTTGTACTAAGGAGAAAATATCTCGCAGCACCTTGAAGTGCTGCCTCTCCCAGAGGAGCTGCATTTATGCAGGAATCAAAGCTTTAATCAATAATAAACAATATCTAAGTTCAACATATGTTCACCTTTCTATATGCAAAGTGTCATACGAAGTGTAGGGCAGCAAACAGGGCTACAAAGAAGAATATGTCATGGTCCTGGCTTTCAAGGCACCTAGTCTGGTAGGTAGATTTAAGGTGAGCACACAAATGTCCATGCTTATAACACAGAATGTGAAGACACCATGGGCGCGACCACGTGGGGTGGGGACCCTGGTATTTAGAGGAAGACCTAACAAAGAAAGTAAGGTCAGGGATCAGCAGGACATCTGCTGGTGACCCTGAAATCATACAACCTGGCCAACTCCGCCTGCAGAGATGTCCTAAAGATAAGTTTTTGGAGAAATGGCTGTGCCAGGAGGGAAGGAGTCAGCCTGACAGAGATGCCTACAGGTGCCCTGGTGTCCCAAATGGGGCCCGAGGGCCAAATGTGGCCACCCTGAGATCTTCAACAACTAGAGGACACATAAGTCAGGAGGCCAGCGGGGCCTGACTTTTGGGTAACTGACGCCGTCAGGCGGCATTCAGCAGAGCTGGATTACCGGTAATTCAATCAAATGTGAATGAAATTAATTCTGTGATTTTGAAATATTCAAATATGATTCCATTTAAAGATTTTGATTCCATTAAAATTCTTGTTGAAAGAGAAATCAGTATGAATAAAGTCTCTACACATCCACGGCTCATGTCTGAGTGAGTCTTATCTGATCCTTGCGTGCCATTTGCTTTAACTGCTGAGAAGTGGGAGGCAGGGGGGCGACAGGCTCAGGTCGGGGGTCACAGAACTTAATGTGGAGATTGGGGTCCTCTGCAGGAGCGCCTCACTGGCCAGGGAGCCTACAGGGTCTGGCTCAGTAAGTTTCCTGATGCTCAGCACTCTTTTCCTTCTTTGTCCTGCAGAGACATTACAGTGAAATACAATGGAAATGGGCGTATATAAAAGGCAATGGAGAAGATACATCAAGTTGAGTCACAAAGTGAGTTGCTGTGGACGACGTGCTAGGTCTCTGGGCTGGGCAGGACATGCTCTTCTACAGGGACTCAAGGAAGCAAAAGAGGCACTGTATTTTCCAGAACTGCCTGGGGGCAGCGGAAGAACAATAATAATAATATGTAACATGTATTGAGTTCTTGCTGTGGGCCAGGAGTGGCTGAAACCCTTAACATGCATGAACTCTTTAGAAACTCGGAGCGGCTCTGAAGGGACATTATCCTCATGCCCATTTTACAATGAGGGAACTGAGGCTCAGTGAGGTTCATTCAGTGAGGCTCCAGGTCAGCTAGGAAGGGCCTGAGTCAGAATCCAAACCCTGGTCTGTCTGTCACATTCTGAAGTTCATTTTCTTAACCTTATCAAGATACTAGTGATCAAGAGCTGTTCACTTCCTAGAGTCTTCTCTTAAAAACGTTTCTATCAGAATAACTTATGCACGTAAGTTAGAAAGCAATATCTCCCTGCTCTAGCCCTGCCCAGCCCCAGGCCTGCTCCTCAGAAGCAACCTCTCGTAGACTTTCCTAGTGGTGGAGTGGGTCGAGTTTACCTCTGAAGGCCATCTATTTCTACAAAAATGCTACCTCCTCTGCCATCAGTCAATCAACCAGTCCTCCCTGCCCTGATAGTCAGCGGACAGCCTCCTGCCACATAGGGCTGGCCCTGTTCATTGAAACAGGCCTGCCCTATACCCCTCAGAGCCAGTTCTCTTCCCTCTAGGCTGAAAACTAGATGTCCTGTTCTGATGACCTCCCGTAGTGCCCTGTGCAGGTAACCTGTACCCTCTGGAAATAATATCCTACTTCTCCACATCTAACAGAGACAAACGAGTCTCATGATGGGAGATTTGGTGCAGTATGGGAGACATTTTGAGACAGTGGGAACCCCTCAAAGGACACCATGAATGTTGCCATCTGTCTCAGAGCCAGCACTGCTTCCAACCGGAGCAAGAAAGTCAGGGAGGCGAAAGGTAGCAGGATACCTTGACCCAAATCCTGAAGAAACACACATAATAGGGGCATTAGGAGAACAAATTAAGCTGGGTCAAATGTCTCCTCAGCACTCCTCTTGCAGGGGAGCTGGGAAGAAAACCAGTATTGCTAAGTCAATTAAAAAACCAGACCAAGAAATGGGAGAAACTGTGAAAACTGCAGATGTTTTGGGGAGGACTGAATGAGGGAGTTCAAAGAGTTGGAAAAGTGACCCCCCTCAAACCAAAAGTAGAAAAATAAAAAGGGTCACGGCTTTGAGGTTTATGCATCAACAGAGGTCTCCTCTGAGTTCAAGATTCTTTGTAGTCATCACCTCATTAATTCCTGAAATTCCCTCTTCATATGCATTTTGTTGGTGACAGACTGCATCCCAGGGAGATGTGGCTACCTACCTTGCAACCCCAAACGAGAGCAATCCAGACATCAGAGTACCGGGAAGCACAGAATTGGGTGCTGGTCAAAGAGCAGGACACGTCTCTCCCTGTCACCTAGGAGGAAGGCCGAGTTAGGGCTGAGGGTGCCCACATTTACCAGGAACACACAGATCTCTGTGAACACCCTGGAGCGGGAACTCCTCTATGGCACATGATTGCCCCCTCAGGACGTAAAAACTGTCAAATGGAGGTGACTCCGTTAGGGACTAGATGAGAGTGGCTGTGAGTCGGAGGAAAAGACAAAGCCGGGCTGACGTGCGCATGCCTGCTGGCAGTGGGATTCGCCCTGTCATGCGCTTTGCCACCACAGTGATTCAGATCGGTGCCTCAGCAACATTACAAACTATTTCATCGTGGACCAGCTGTTCGCCAACAGTTGAAACTTTAAACACGAACATTGCAATGTAACGATTCCCCTGTATTCCTCAGCTTCTTGTAAGGCTGGAGACATATTCCTATTAATTGAGCACTATGTACCCAGAACAGTTAAGTCCTTTACTTGCATCGTTTCACTTAATGTTCATCACAGCCCTGTGAAATAGGTAGTATTATTATCTCCATTTTACCTATGAGGAAACAGAGACTTGGAGGGGTTAAGTAACTTTCCCAAGGTCACACAGCTGGTGAGCTTGGCAGGGCTGGGATTTGAACCAGGGCTGACCGGCTCCAAAGACCACCTCCAAAGGCTACCTCTACCTTTAGCAATTAGGGGAAGGGAACTGCTCATGGTGGAAAGTTCTCAGCATTGATAATGTGGAAGCAGAGATAACCGCCAGATCCCAGTGTGCTGACATCTCAGTGGAGGCCCACGAAGAGACACTTGGGTGGGGGGGCAGTGGGCGCAGCAGCACACCCAGCAGACTCAGGGAAGGTGCTCATGGCAGCCCTGGCTGCTGACTCTCCTTCCTCTAGAGTCCTTTATCTTCTTGTTTCAGGGAAGACCCCTGTGTATCCACAGAGGCCAGGCCAGTCCATGAATTAGAGTCTCGAGGGATTGGGCCCCTCACCGTCATGCTGACACTGAGGATCTGGAGGCACTGGATGGGGTCAGTCAGCACCCAGGTCACGAGCAGGATCACATCAGCCATCACCAGGCCTGCCACCAACCCCAGCAACTGCAGGTCTTTGATAATCTGCAAAAGAGTCAAGGTCAGAACTTCCCCTTGTTTGCTGGCTATATGATACAGGGGCTAGAGTGTCCCACGTGCTCTGAGCTATAGGCTCCGGGATCAGCCCTCCCAAGGACCTTCAAATCCAGCCATCAAAGAGGAAACAGACACCAAACATTTGCAATGACTTCTATGTTGATATCATTATTACTAATGAGCATTTCTATTTATTTAACTTTTTCATAGCCTACATTTTTCCACAAAGGATTCAAGCGGTCTTATAAAATAAATACACTATTATGTCTAGATATGTTTGTATGAGCCCATAGAGAGATATAGAAGTTTTCACATCAAACTGTTAATAACTGTTAACTCAGAGGGTGAGTTTCAGAGATGCGTGCAGGAGGAATTATTGACATTTTCCTAATATGCATATAAACTACAGATGCTCTTTGACTTATGATGGGGTTATATCCTGATAAACTCATCGAAAATTACAGAAATGCATTTAATACACCTAACCAGCTGAACATCATAGCTTAACCTACCCCACCTTAAATGTGCTCAGAACACTCACATTAGCCTACAGTTGGGCAAAATCATCTCACACAAAATCTAATTTATTATAAAGTGTTGAATATCCTAGCAATTTATTAAATACTGTACTGAAAGTGAAAAATAGAATGGTGGTTTATGTGCTTGAAGTATGGTTCCTACAATATACACATTGCTTTTGCACCATTGTAAAGTTGAAAAAGTTTAAGTGAAACCATCCTAAGTTGGGGACTGTCTCTATTTGACTTAATATAAAGAGAATGTGTTACTTTTGTGACTACAAAAATAAAATTAAGAAAAAATATATAATGCGACAGGATTAAAACCTTGAAAAATATCAGGAAGGAGAGAAAATAAGGAGAAATAAACCTTTATCATAATAAAGGCTCAGGTGAGGAGTGTGTACAGCATTCATTAATTGGGGCAGAAGTGTGGATCTGAGCTTTTGACAACCAGTAAAAGAAAGAAGCACGACCAGTTATATGATTCAAGGTGTTTGTAAGATAAAAACAAATCAGTGGCCTAACCAAACTGCTCAAAACCAGATAAAGAGAAAATCTTCAAAGCAAACAGTGAAAAAAGACATATTATATGTAGAGGAACAAAGATAAGAAAGACATCAGACTTCTCATCAGATACAAGGCCAACTAAGAAGACAGTGCAGGAACATCTTCAAAGTACTGAAAGAAAAAAAGAAAACCTCAATCTAGAATTCTGTACCCAGCAATATGTCTTTCAGAAACAAAGGCGAAACAAAGACTTTTTCAGATAATCAAAAGCTGAAAGCTGAAAGAATTCAGCACTAGCACACTCACACTAGAATGTTAGATATCCTTCAGGCAAAAGGAAAATAACGTTGGATAAAATTGAGGATCTATATAGGAAATTCAGAGCACTGGTGGGACAGGGGTCGTGCCGCCGCTGTGAGCTGCACCATTGAAAAGACCCTGATGGATGCCAACATGCTGCCGGAGAGGCTGCAGGAGCACGCACGATGCAGCCTCCAAGTCGGCAGTGGATCAGTTTGAGGCCCTGCACCAGCGGGTGACAGCTATTGGGAGGCGGGGACTGTGCTTCTGGACCAGTATCAAGAAGACGCATCTGATATAAAGGACATGTCCAAATACGAACCTCACATTCTGCTGTCCCAAGAGAACACACAGATTAGAGACTTGCAGCAGGAAAATAGAGAGCTGTGGGCTTCCTTGGAGGAACACCAGGGTGCATTGGAACTCATCATGAGCAAGTACCAGACACAGATGTTACAGTTAACGGCTGCTAAAAAAGCAGGGGATGCTGAACCATTCCTGAAAGCTCACCAGTCTCATGCTGCAGAAATTGAGTCAGATCGACAGCTTCTGTGAAATGGGAGAAGTGACCAGGAAAGCAGTTCTGGTGGATGATGACCAATTTTGTAAGATTCAGGAAAAACTAGCCCACTTAGAGCTTGAAAATAAGGAACTTCAAGAATTATTGTCCATCAGCAGTGAATCCCTTCAGGTCAGAAAGGAAAACTCAAGGAACACTGCTTACCAAGCCATCAAATAACTGAACTCTGATGGCTAGAGATTATCTATCAAGGAGGGAAATTATTATCTTCCCATTCAAGTATCTTCCATTCAATGTCTTGCCTCAAACTTGATTTAATATTGGATAAAAGTATTAAGTGGCAAAAAAAAAAAGCACTGGAAATGGTAACTACATGGAAAAATACATGATTAATTTTCATTATTTAAATATCTCTAAAAGATAATTGTTTAAACAAAAATAATAAAAATTGTATAAGGCTTATAACATATTTAAAAGTAAATACCACAAAGATTGGGATGGGAAGAAATGGAAATATGCTATCATAAGACACATGTACATGAGTGCCAATTATACAATTATATTCAAACTCTTCCAGAAATTGAAGAGGAGGGAATACTTCCCAACTTATTCTATAAAGCCAGTATTCCCTTGATAACAAAACGAGAAAAAGATATTATAGGAAAAGAAAACTACAGAGCATATCCATTATGAACAAGAATATACAAATTCCAAACAAAATTTTTACAAAAATAAATGCAACAATATATGAACAGGATAATACATCATGACCAAGTAGAGTTTATCTCGGGAATACAAGGTTGGTTTGACATCCTAAAATCACTTAATGTAATCCACCATGTGAATAAACTAAAAAAGAAAAACCATCTCGATAGATACAGAAAAAGCATTTGACAAAACCCAACATCAATTCTTGATAAAAACTCTCAGAATAGAGTAGAATAAAATAGAACTTCCCCAACTGGATAAATGTCTTCTAAAATGAAACTATAGCTAACATCATGCTTAGTTTTGAAAGATTGAGTGTTTTCCCCATCAGATCAAGAATAATTCAAAGATATCTACCGTCACTGCTTCTATTCAAGATTGTACTATTGTTTCTAGCTAGTGCCATTAGACAAGAGCTTGGAAAGAAACTATCTCTATTCACAGATTATATGATTATTTATGCAGAAAATCTGATAAAATCTACAAAATAGCTATTAGAACTAATATGTAGTTTAGCAAGGTTGCAGCATACTAAAATCAACTATATTAATCTTTCAATATATTAGCAACAAATGGAAAGTAAAATTTAAAAAATAACATGTCCAATAGCATAAGAATATAAAATATTTAGATATAAATTTGATAAAAGACATGAAAGACCTATATTGAAAAATACAAAAAAATTGCTGAGAGAAATTAAAGAAAACCTAAATAAATGGGTTCGTGGGTCAAAAGACAGCATTGGTAAGAGTCAATTCTGCACAATTTGAACTATAGATTCAACACAATCCCAATCAATATCTCAAGAGTTTTTGTAGAAACTGGCAAACTGATTAAAAAAATTCATATGGAAATTCAAAGGACCTAAATTAGTCAAACAACATTGAAAGAGAAGAAGAAAGTCTACACACAGTGAGACAGAATGGAGAATCCAGAAATAGATCCATACATCTATGGACAACTGATTTTCAATGATGATACAAAGGAAAGTCAGTGAAGAAAGGACAATCCTTTCAACAAATGATGCTAGAACAATCAAATGTCCATCTTTAAAAAAATAAAATGCAATCAATACATCCCACCATATTCCAAAATTAACTCAAAATGGATCATAGGCCTAAATGCAAAAACTAAAACTCTAAACTTCTAGAAGTTTAGACATAGGAGAAAGCCTTTTGGTGCCTTAAGTGAGGGAAAATTTCTGAAATATAATAACAAAATCATGATCCATAAGGAACAAATTGGTAAATTGGACTTCATCAAAATTAGAAATATCTTCTTTTTGAAAGACACTTAAGCAAATTAAAAGACAAACTGGAAGAAAATCTTTGCAAATCATATATCTGAGAAACAGCTTGTATCCAGAATATTAAAAAAACTCTCAAAATTCAATAATAAGAAAAGAAAAAATACAATTTAAAAAAATGGGTGAAAAATTTGACTAGTCACTTCACCAGAGAAGATATATGGATGGCAAGTAAGTGTAAGAAAAGATGCTTAACACTGCATTAGGGAAACGCAAATTAAAACCACAATGAGATACTACTACGTGTATCTGTTAGAATAGCTAAAACAAAAAAGATTGACCAAATCAAATGTTGGCGAGGATGTGCAGGAAATGGACTCTCATGCACTGCTGGTAGGAATGTATTAACACAATGGTACAATCACTGTGGAAAGCAGTCTGGCAGTTTCTTAAAAAGTTAAATATATACTTACCACATGATCCAACCGTTCTACTCTCAGGGTTTTTTCCAAGAGAAATGAAAGCACATGTCTATACAAAGAATTGTACATGAATGTTCATAGAAACTTTATTTTTAATAGCCTCAAACTGGAAACAACCCAAACATCCACCAACAGGTTGAAGAGATAAGCAAATGTGTCTACACATTGGAATACTACTCACCACTAACAAAGAAAGAACTACTGGTGCATACAACATGGGTGAATAGTTATAATATTCATAAAATAATTATGTAAGCAAAATAAGCCAGACCAAAAAGAAAAAGAGTACATATTGTATTATTCCATTTACATAAAACTCTGGAAAATGAAAACTAATCCATAGTGACAGAAAGCAAATCAATGGTTTCCTGAGGTCAGGAAGGGGGACATAAGGATTGGACAGGAGGGGGAGATAACAAAGGGGCATGAGGAAGCTTTTGGGGATGATGGGTATGTTCATTATATACCATGTTTCATGGGTGTATATGCATGTCAAAATTTATCAAATCATATACTTTATGTATAGTTCATTGCATGTCAATTATACCTCAAAAAAGCTATTTTTAAAAAAGCAATCAGTGTTCTAGAGGGATGGATGAATTTTTTGTCCTTTTAGATAATCTTCTTCATCCATATGGTTACTCAGAGCTGAGCTTTTGGTAAGTATACCCCATGATTCAATAACATTTGCTTAAAAAAACAATCCCATCATTCCAGAGAAGTAAACACCAACTGAATGATAGATCAGGTCTGGGCAACCTCTGGGCATGCAGCCAAAGAGGCTGATGGTCAGGTGTTGAGGTTTGGCCAGTCCTATCAGGGAACCTAACTAACGAAATGGGGGAATGTAGCCAAGTTGATGCCTGATATCAGGGACATTTAGTGGACCCCAACCTTTTTGGCACAAGGGGCTGGTTTCATGGATGAAGCTTCACCTGCTGGGCCGCCGCTCACCTCCTGCTGTGTGGCCCAGTTCATAAATTTCATGGAAGACAATTTTTCCACGGACCAGGGTTGGAGCGTGGGGGTGGGGAGCTCAGGTGGCGATGCACAGCCCAGTTTCTAACAGCCCACGGACCAGTAGCAGACTGCAGCCTGGGGGTTGGGGACCACAGAGGTGATCTGGCTGCCACATAACTTCTAGGGTTGATTCTATCTGCTGAATGGGTGTGCTCTTCCTTGCTGACTGCTCTGGGCACACCCTTCTCAGTACAGAGGACTACCTTCTACGTAGAAAAGAATTAGGCTCCAGGGAGGGAAATAACTCTGCTTACTTGCTATAGCTTCTCTGCAATCACTCTCGTCCCTCCACTTCCAGCTCATCCCTGTGCCAAGCAATAGTCTCTCTGGGCATCTTGTTCTCCCCACCCCAGCACCAGGTATTGGCCAGCTCACACACCCGCAGGAGCAGACCCCAGGTTGAAAGACCTGTTCTCCGACAGCACTGATCCCCAGCCCTCCAGGCCTGGGGCTTTACGAGGCCGCACAACTCCAAGGTTTTAAGTGAGGAGCAAGAACTTCAGATATCCTAAAAGGAGCTAGGCCCAGAAATCTGCACAAGCTTTTCTAGCTTTTAATCAATAGTGGAGCTGCCATCTGCAACCACGCATTGTGAACTTGCTGCCTACTCACCACTCTCTTGTCTGGGACCCTCTGCATAAACACCTTGTAGAGTCGCCAGCTCTTTCCCAGAATGGGGCCAAACACAAGGGAGGTCCCGATGCATAGCATGGACAGTCTTATCTACAGGTGGAAGGGGACAGAAGCAAGAGTCACGAGAGAGGAACCTTTGTTGCTTCCCCACACATTCTGATCTGCAAAGCCTTGGTTCCACAAGAAGGCAGGGTGTGGAAGGTGGGCCTTACCAAGTGTTCCAGGGGTTGCCTCTAAAAGTGCCCACACCAAGGATAAAGCTAACCCCCACCCACAGGAGCAGCTGGTTTAAAAAATCACGAAAACTTTTAACTTCAATTAGACACTTTTAAAAAAAATCATCAAAATTATAACATCATATTCAAAACCAAACTTAAAAATTTTACCTACCTGAATCAGAGTTTCCATTGAGCTTCCTACTGAAACATCTTGAATCCCAAAGAGGTAAGCACTGCTGTAAGTCAGACAACTGCCCAGTAAAGTCACAATGTTCAGATTGGGACTGGACATCTTCACAATCCTAGAGGGGATCAGGGAGAAAGACACAGCCAGGGCCCTTTGCCCTGGGGCCAGTGACCTGTAAGAGCAAAGCTTCCCCCCCAGCACAGTCTCCAGTGCGGCCTCTCAGTGAAGGGCCCTTGGGGAGAAACGACTTGGCAGCCCTGTGAAAACTTAGGATTTATTTAAATTTATTTTCAAAAAGAATGAAATTCTGGCACTTCTTGCTTGTATAACTTCAAGTCTTTTAAAAGAAGGCTGACTACCTACAAACAGGTGGCGTCAGAGTTAGAATTTTATGCATGAAGTCTGTGGTTGCTAAGGGACTGCTGCATGCAGCTGAGTGAAGAAATAACCAGCAGGTAGATACCCAGAGAGACAGTTTGGAGCCTTTAGAAATGAGCTGTAAGGAAAATGGCTATTTGGAAAGGGGTTTGGGATTTTCTTAATACACTATTCACCTTGTATGTAAATTGTTTTCCTCTCTCTACTTGACCAGGAGAGAAAGAGCAAGCAGGGATCAGAAGCAGCAAATTGGGGAATGGTCTTTCCCGAGTCGTTTTAAACGAGGTTAGAGAGCAGTTTGAAGGTGAGAGGGAGACACGGATGATCAGGGTCTCAGACAAACCCTGCACAGCAACAGAGGTTCTGGAGGTGAAATGGTTACGCTAAGGGGAAAATTGAGCTTGCACTGGGCAGTGAGTGATAATGATTAATTAAAAGTAACAAGTATCAGGGAGGAATACCATTATACTTAAGAATTTTGGTCTAAATATACTCTGCATAAATGCAACATTTTTACTAATAGTCATTTGATGATTATATATCAGGGATATGTTTGTTATACTTTTATTTTTAAATAATAACTAAGAAGGAAAGCATTCTTATCTATGTCTCTTGATTACCTGGCCAATCACCTTAAAGGCCAGGACCAAGGCAAAACCTTCCACTTAGTGAAGCCTATTTTAATGACAGGCAAAGTACCTAGGAGGCATTAAACAGCAGTTTGACCGTGCTGGATTTGCAAATGTCATAACCACCAGGGGCCCAGTTTGGTTACTTTGTGGCTGGTAGTGCAATACACACAAGAAGACTAAACAATCGCCCCAGGGCTCAGGCCACAAGTACTGTCACCATAGGCCAATGAGTCCAGTTGAGCTTAACCTCATCTTGGAAAGAAGATTTTTTCTCTCTTTCTAAAAAGGAGAACAACTTTTATGTATACTCTTTGTAAAATGCAAATAATAATAATAATACCTCCCCTCCTAATTCCCCAAAGAATTATGAGGATTTATCGAGGCAATACGGCAAAGCGCTTGGCACATGGCAGGCATGTTGTGAACCTTAACTTATGATATTATAATCTCACCATCTTCCTCTTCCAGGTTTTAGAAACCTAGGAATCACCTTTTCCTTCTTCTGTTTCTTTATCAGATATACGCAATCAATTGCCAAGTTCTCTCGCTTCTTGTTTCAAAGTCCCTCTGAGTTTTCTCTAACTCTCCATTCCTGCCAGTATGTTTATGCCGGATACAGTCATGTCAGGAGCAATGGAACTGGAGTCGGGTGTGATAGGTGGGAATACGCTGTTTCCTCTTCAGTAAAACAGAGATAGTATCTTTCATATCTACCCCACAGGTTATCGTGAGGATCGAATGAGGTGTGTGCCAAAACTCTTGTCAAACTCTAAGGTGGTGCAAAAATATTACTTTTCAGATTTTTGGTGTAACCTTCAGCTCTCTGTAACACCTGATTTTTTTTTTCTGTTCTAATACATCTTTATCACTTAGCAAAAGACCTACATGTATAAAGAACAATTTTCTGTTGCTTTCCTTAAGTCTCTTGCACCAAAATTCAAGCTCTATTGTACCATCCACTTATTCACTCAGCTCTGCCTCCCCAGTCTCAGTGCCTTCACGCTGTGGACTTGCAGGGAGTGCTCCTCCTTGGTTTCTTTGTTTCTCCGCACAAGAAAAGAAAATATGTGTTGAATATTAACTAGGGAAGTAAGAACAATGCCAACCAGCAGCTTCACAAAGCATTTTTGTTTTTTTTAAAGAAAAGTAACACATTAAAGAGACCAGTGCTGACACTGATTTAGAACAGAGGGCACTGCCGACCTGCGACTGGCGATTTGGTGCAGTCAGAAGCTTGGGCAGTGGCAAAACCAGGGAGTGGGCTCCTGCAAGACCAATGACAGAGGCCATTCTTCCCCATGGCCACTACCATGTTCCTGCACATAAGCTGTGAATACCTTACGGTGACCTCCTCACCAAGCAACTGCCTGGGTTTCACAGCCACATGTCTATTCTGTCTAGATCACTGATGGGTAGGTTTCTCTCTTAATTCTTCTTGGATCCATTTTATTTGAACACCATCATGCAATCAGGTTTTCTTTGAGTGATGCAGCATGACATGAAATCCTGACTTAGAATTTCTTCCCTTTCTGATTTAGTTAGGACGAGCTCAATTTAGTAATTTTTTTTGTTTCAGCATATTATGGGGGTACAGATGTTTAGCTTACGTATGTTGTCCTTGCTCCCCCCTCCCCCACTAAGTCCGAGTTTCAAATATGTCCATCCTTCGGGTGGTGCGCATTGCACTCTTTGTGTATGCAAATACCCGTCCCCTCCTCCCTCCTCCCTCCTTCAATTTAGTAATTTTTGACAAAATATATATTACATAGCCTTCACATCTCAGACGTTGATGTTAATTCATTGTTCAAATTGATATGCTATGGACTTATATATGTATATTTTGATATTTTTCCTGAAAAATTTTACTGAAAACTTGCCTCAGGGAAAAAAAAATGAATAGAAGATGATTTCCCTATTTTGTCTGGCCACGTTAACACCTGTGAAGTCACTGAAAGGTGAATCATCTCCAATTCAGCGGCGAATTATATATGTCTGGAGAATGTCTTTGCCGCTTTGGTAGGAATTCAACCACCAATGTCATTTATATTTTTCTATTGAACGAAAAGATGATGCCTGCAGAGTTGAATATTTTAATCAGCCACAAACACACATAATTTCCCCAAAGCAAGTAGATTTAAATATTGTCTACTTAATTATAAATAGCCAGTACCATCTAGATTACTTGTGTTCCATTTATGAAATGTTAAAAGCCTGGATTGGGTTAGTGGCAGGCAGAAACAAGGTGAGTTTTTTTTTTTTTAAAGTATTATATAGTTATTTCATTATCACCTCCTCTTCATTTATTGACTGGAAATCTAATGCCATTCTTGATTTTTCTATTCTCAAGTAAGATCTCAATACATCTAGATAAATACCCATCTACAGCTGCAGACCCTGTATAACCCTGGATTATCATTTCAATAGTCTTCAGTGAATTCAGACACTTAAGTGTCATCCACCAGCTCAATGCTATGATGTTTTAAAAATCTTTATCAAATATTGGTTTCTGAACTTGGAGGTCTAGTAATATTTGGAGTTATTGAGTTTGGAAACATGGCCTGAAAGTGGGGCAGAAGGTACTTCTTGGTGTGCTGTGACTAACAGAAAACTTTTCTAAGATGTCACAGGACCATGCTTTCTAAAATGCTGCATGAATTGATATTGGGTTTTAACATATCTAAAATCAAATATGAATGTCTTTCTAAAAATCTTTTTAATAAAATAATTAAGATTTAAATTGTGAAAATTTATTTTTAATCCACTATTTTTGATCCATGCTACAATGGGATTATAAATCTATCTAAAAAAAAAAATCCAAATAGCTTTATCATGTTATCTGATGTGTTCCAGCAAATCTGATCTTTTGCTGTCTTGCTTATTTCTAATGTATTCATCAATCTGAATCCAATTTAAATTTTGCACACCTCAAATTAATATTAATGCGACCTCTAGCCATTTGCATTTAAATTCTCTATCATACGGGCTGGCCCTGCTCCTTCTTTTCCTGCCTGGGCCACCATCCTAGTAGACTATTCTAGGAGATTTCGTTAACCTTTTAACCTCCAGAGTTCTAAATTCTTTAATTATAATGACTTCACTTTATTCCACTTCAGAGAGACGCCCATCACCAGGTTACACCCTGGATCTCAAGATCATTCGGAGTGGATCCACCTCAAGAATGAACACCAATATCCCACTCTTTGACTACAATCCATCCAAAATGTAATCCCTAGTCTTCTCCTTCAACTTCCCACATTCTTCCCCCCATTCAGATAATGGCAAGTCCATCCTTCCGTTTGCTTGGATCAAAAAACCTTGGAGTCATCCTGACTCTAGCGCACCACCCACATCTGATCTGTTGTGATATCTTGTTGGCTTTGCCCTTGAAATAATCCAACTACTTCTCACCACCTCTGCTGCCACCACCTGATCAAAGTCTTACTTTGCATTTCTCATTTGGATTATTGCAAAAGCCTCCTAGCTGGTCTCCCTGCTTCTACCCTGGAACCTCCTGAAAGTCTATTTTCAACATAGCAGCCAGTGTGATCCACTAAAGATAAATCAGATTATGTCACTTCTCTGCTCAAAAGCCCACAATGGCTCTCCATTTTCAAGAGGAAAAGCCAATCTTTACCAGGGTCTACAAAACTTACACATTTGGTCCCCAGTATTTCGCTACCTCATTTCCTACTTCTTCCCCATGCCCACTCCTCTCCAGCCACATGGCATCTCTGCTGTTGCTTGAAAACACCAGGCACTCAGATACTTCAAGGCTTTGAAGCGGTTGTTTTCTCTGCCTGGAATATTTCAATCTACATGTCTGAATGGCTCATTCTCTTTCTCCCTTGATTTCTTGTTCAAATGTTACTTTCTCAAGCAGGGCTGTGAAGACAACCCATTTAAAATTATACTATTCCCCCAGAGTTCTGAATCCTTTTTATCCTGCTCTATTCTCTCCTTCCCCATCCCCTCATAGTACCACCAATGCCGTTTATATTTTTCTATTGAACTAAAAGATGATGCCTGCAGAGTTGAATATTTTAATCAGCCACAAACACACATAATTTCCTCAAAGCAAGTAGATTTAAGTATTGTCTACCAATTT